CCTCGACCCACGGCTTGGGAGGAGGACGCGGGACCGGCCGGGAGGGGAGGCGACGGGAAGCCAGGCGGGGCTGTCGCATCTCCTCTGCAGGGCCTCGTAAACAGTTGGCTTCGGTGTCACGACTGTGGCCGAGCAAGGGTCCGAGCAAGGGTCCGAGTGGGAGCCTGGGGACAGGTGGCGTCGGCTCCCTCCGCGTCTGGCCAGGTCTAGGTGGTCTTTCGGGAATCCTGGTTTCGAATGTATCCGTAAGGAACTGTCTCCTGTAGAAGCCCTTAAAGGGCTTCACGCCAGCCTCTTCTGCTTCCCAGTCCAACCGGCTTGTCTCCCCAGCCCTCTGGTAGTGAAAACCTAGAATCGTCTGGCATTAACATGCAAAGCAGATAAATAGCTCGCTCTTTTCCCTGACAGCCCCCTTGGGAGCCTTGAGCACTTTATTATAAGAAGAATTATTCTCCCAGTTTGTTCCAAGTAACACTAGATTTGCTCTGTTGTTATCGAGAGCCTGTTCAGTCATTACATCTTCTGCAACATCGGTGACTAAAATACTGAAATATTTTTTTCTCTAGAAATGTTTAATGTTTGTTTCAACAAGTTAGAAGTTTAATGGGTCATTTCACTCAGATTCTTTAAATCATTGCTCCTATCACCACCCTTTATGGTAGCTCCATTCCTCCTCCCTCCCCCCCCCCCCCCCACCCCAAGCAGATTGCAGTCCTCTTGCAAGTCTAAGGATATGGGGAAGGAAGATGAAGTAAAGCCTATGTGTGTTTATCTGTGCACACTGGGGAGTCTGTTTCTGTGTGTGTATATGTATAGCAGAGTGCACCAGAAATTCTTGACCTTGTGGTCCATTCTTGTGTTTCAGGGTCTCTTACCTGTTCCTGCACATTCTGGGCTCAGAATGTGTAAACAAGGCTGCTGACTCTGCCTTGATTTTGTTCCACCTTTGGCTGCAGCAGCCCTTGATATTGTGTCTTTGTGACTCTAGCATGAGACTTCAAACATTTGGCTCACTACTGGAGAAATAAAGGATATTACCAGTTGACTCTCCTGTCTATAGCAATGTTAGCCTCAAGCAAGAGGATGACCAGTTCTTCACGTTCCCAAGTCCTTCTAATGTGGAAACCAGACAAGGCTCGGAGTGGACTCTACGATGTTGAGAAGGAAACCCTTACTTCGAGACTGTTGCGTGACACTGAGACCTGTCGACAGAATTTTAGGAATTTTCCATACCCAGACTTTGCTGGTCCTCGGAGGGCATTGAGTAAACTCCGAGAGCTCTGCCTTAAGTGGCTGAGACCTGAGATTCACTCAAAGGAACAGATTCTGGAGCTGCTGGTGCTGGAGCAATTCCTGACCATCCTGCCTGGGGAAGTTAGGACTTGGGTAAAGTCTCAGTATCCAGAGAACAGCGAGGAAGCAGTGACTCTGGTAGAGGATTTAACTCATATTCTGGAAGAGGAAGGTGAGAATCGTAAAGCAGAAAGGGGAAGAATTCCTAGGTAGTTAAAGAAGACACATCAGAGAGCAGCACCTTTAAAGAAACTGGAGAGAAGGCAGAGCAGAGTAACTCATTGCCTGTAATCCCATCATTTGGGGAGGCCAGGGTGGGAGGATTGCTAAAGGCCAAGAATTTGAGACCAGCCTGGGAGACCTTATCTCTAAAAAAAAAATTTTAGTTAGCTTGACTTGGTGGCACACACATATAGTCAGGAAGCTGAGACAAGAGGATCTCTTGAGCTCAGGAGTTCCAGGCTGCAGTGAGCCATGATCATATCACTGCACTCCAGCCTGGGTGACAGCAAGACCCTCTTTCAAAAAAAAAGATTTTTTTTAAAGATGAAAAAGGTCCAGGCACAGTGGCTCAATCCTAGAATCCCAGCATTTTGGGAGGCAGAGGTGAAAGGATTACCTGAGCTCAAGGGTTCAAGACCAGCCTGGGCAACTTGGTGAGACCTTGCCTCTTCAATAAATAAATAAGCCAGGAGTGTTTCTGCGCACCCGTAGTTCCAGCTACTTGGAAGACTGAGGCAGAAGGATGACCTGAGCCCAGCAGGTCGAGGTTGCGGTGGCCATGAGCATACCACTGCACTCTAGTCTGGGTGACAGAGTGACTTCAACTCAAAAAAAAAAAAGTAAATAAATAATCTGAGCCCAGCAGGTCAAAGCTGCAGTGGCCATGAGCATGCCACTGCACTCCAGCCTTGGTGATGGAGTGAGACTCCAACTCAAATAAATAAGTAAGTAGAAAGAAAGAAAAGAAATTGGGGAGTGAGTGAGAGCAAGACTTTAACATGAGCTCCAGGCCTGGCGCGGTGGCTTATGCCTATAATCCCAGCATTTTGGGAGGCCAAGGTGAGAGGATTGCCTGAGGCCACGGGTTCAAGACCAGCCTGGGCAACTTGGCGAGACCCCATCTCTACAGTAAATCAAAAAACTTAGCCGAGCGTGGTGGTGTGTGCCTGTAGTTCCCGCTACTTGGAAGGCTGAGGCGGAAGGATCACCTGAGCCCAGCAGGTCAAGGCTGCGGTGGCCTTGAGCGTGCCACTGCACTCCAGCCTGGGCAACAGAGTGAGACTCTGACAAAAAAACAAAATATGAGCTCCATCCTGCATGGTGTTCCCCATCTAGATTGCTTGGGACCAAACACTATCTAAACACAGAGAAGAGTCATGAAAGAATGACCAGACACAACTCAACCCCATGTGAGCCCTCAGAAAGTTTACCTGCAGAGGTTTGCACCATTTTACTAATAAATCATTTGTTTTGTGAATTGACTTTTACAATAACATATTTCCAAAAAGGTAGAAGGGGTCAAGAGAGCATTCAGTTATTAAGAAAAGAGACAACTCACAAAATTATTACATAAGGATTTAGTTTTTTAAAATGTGAATTTTTTACATATACTTAAGAGTCCTCAGAGCAAACTTGTTTTTGAAGTCTGTATCGCCATCTTAGGGCAAGTCATTGGCCCTTCTTTCTGATTCTTTGAGGTAGAAGTGCTGTTTTTGGTTTCCTTCTGACTTCTCACTTTAAGAAACTATCGGCATCCATTTGGTGAAGAGTTCCCCAAACTGTTCAGACAAGACTAATCTCTGTCATGGGATCTTTCTCTTCCCTAGCTCCTCAGAACTCTGCCCTTTCCCGAGAGACCCCAGAGGAAGACCCCAGAGGAAAACATGCATTCCAAGCAGGGTGGCTAAATGACTTGGTGACCAAAGTGAGTTTGAGTTTCTTTTGTGACTTTAAAATGCCTTCTCAGTGCATGAGGACATTTTCTGCCCTGGCCCTGTAACTGCTATGCCCCCAAAAGCTAGGACCTAGCCTTAGTTTCTCTCCTTAGTTATCTTGGCCTGTTAAGGTAGGTAAATGTACCACATAGGAAATGGGCTACCATTGCCTTCCTTTGATATATCTTTCCTCACTCTTTGACTCCAAGTTACGTAGAGGTTAAGGGATCGACTTCCACAGCCAGATGGATCTAGGTTTTGGTTCCTGGCTCTATCCTTAAATCTGCAGTTTGGGACAAGATAGTCAACAATTCTTAGCTTGAGTTATTCAGTTATCATAAATAGAATTTACCTGTTAGATTTTGAGGATCAAATATTTTGAGACTTACAGTTAGCCTGTACGTGATTAATAGAAAATAATTGTCAATATTAGTTTTCTTCATTAACAAGTAATTAAAGGATATGTTTTCTGTGCTATCACTGTTGATCATGAATCTGTTATTTTAAAGACTAACAACTCAAGTCACCTTAAGAGAAAGATTTACAGCAAAAATATAAGTGGTATTTCTAAAATAGAAAAGCCTTTGATGACTAAGTTAAAATGATTATTCATAGATGATATGAACATTTACCAGAAAAACCTAAGAAAATCAAGGGAAAGACTGTTAAAAGCAATAATAGAAAAATTGAATAAAATGACTGCTACAGAAAATGACATGCAAAAATTAATCATTCTCTTATATACATAAAAATCAGAAAAATGATAAAGTGAAATAAAGGATTCAAGTATTACCTCCCCATAAACCTTAAAGTAACTAAAACCAAGCATAGTATAAATTTTGCAGTACCTTTGTGTATCATTTTATGGGATGTGAAAGAAACCTTGAATATTGTAAAGCCGTCAGTTCTCCCTAAATTGTAGACTTAATGCAGTTGTAAAATCCCAAATATGATTTATTTAAAGACACTGAAAATTATATGAAAAAATAAACACGTAAGATAATATTTTTTTAACAAAGAGTAAAAAGGAACACTCACCTTACCAGATTGTCAAACATATCTAAAAGTGCAACAGTGTGCTTATTGGTACCAGTTTTATCTTAAAGAAGAAAGACGCTGTGTTTCATCATAGAGTATGTCAAAATATCTTAAAATTTTAAATTATAGCATGTTGAATTTCTTCTTGAGGCAAAGCTTGAAGAGCAAAACCAACTCTCATCTGTGTTTAAAATTTAAAACCCTTTCTTTTTTAAGACAGAGTCACCAACACATGCAAAAGTGCCAATTGAAAACAATAAATTCTACTTTGTTTTCAAACTTCCCTTTATGGCTATTGAGGGATGCTATGGGGCTGTCTATACATTGAGGGAGGATTTTGACTAGGCAGTTTTTAAAGTCCTACTGAAGATTCTGTGACCACCCCGCCACCACCACCATACATGCACCCCATGTTATCTTTCCCCCTTTCCACTAGTTCTTGAACCGAGATACATTATATTTGATATTTTAGGAATCAATGACATTCAAAGATGTGGCTGTAGACATCACCCAGGAGGACTGGGAGCTAATGCGTCCTGTACAGAAGGAATTATACAAGACTGTGACATTACAGAACTATTGGAACATGGTTTCTCTGGGTAAGGACCATCTACAGCTCTCCTCCTGCCAGCCTGCCCTCAAGAATATCTTTATTTCCCCAGTTGTTAAAAATGGGCTAGGCCTCTGAAGTCCTTGACTAAAAATGGGGTCTAGAAATTAGTGTTCTCATCCCATTTGGGCACAAAAAATAACTCTGTTTTACTCCCATTTCCCAAATAAAAGGTTTCTAAATGAAAGAACATTGAAATTAGGATGCTCAACTTCACCGACACTGTCTTGCCAGTTCTCCACTGTAAAGGAAGGTTTCTTCCCCCATGGTCTCCATGCACATATACTCTTTGATGGCAGGAAATTTTTATCCTAGCTCTGAAAAGAACAGCAACCTAATTATGTTATTAAATCATGTCTGTGAACTGTTGTTTTCCTGTAGAGGTATGTCCTCCCAGATAAGTAGAGGTCAGGTAATATAATAAACTATGAACAATTGTTTGTCTCTAGAATAAAATTTATTATATTCCTCCTTAACAGGACTTACGGTGTACAGACCAACTGTGATTCCCATATTGGAAGAACCATGGATGGTGATAAAAGAAATTTTAGAAGGTCCTAGTCCAGGTGAGAGAAAAACCAGCACATGAGTTTCTTTGCATTTACGTCTATGTCCTAAGTGTGGTAAGGTATGTTTTTTTTTTAAATAGGGTCAAGTTTCTTTGCAAAGGAATCCCAGCCTGTCAAGAAGACGGCACTGCTTCCTTACTGAGGCCTTTTCAGGAAGAGAGTTTCCAAACATTTTCATACCTTTCCTCTGTATCTCTTCTCACTTTATTCTTCTACATGACCCCTAGGTCCCTTCTCTTAGAGCTTTGTCTAGGGCTTTCATTGTACCATTCCCACCCCCCTTTATTCAGATATGCCTGAATGTCCCCTAAAAACTTTTTGAGTTTCTTTTATTCTGTTCACTGACAAACCCCTATGCCCACCGCCTCCACTTTCCTAAATCATTCCCTTCTTTTCTATTTTCTAATTTTCTAAAAAGATAATATATTCACAAGATTCAAAAATTTTAAAAATATTTAAATCCAGACATACACAGACAAAAGTCTCCCACTTATAAACCACATTTACCCAGTTCCTGCATCTCCCCAAGCACGCAACCACTGTCATTAGATCATGTCCATGAACCATTGTTTTCTTGTAGAGGTCTGTCCTCCCAGAAAGTAGAAGTCAGATAATAAACTTTGGTTTATATAAAATAAACAATAAAATGTTGGTTTTATCCTAAAGATGAACAGTTATTTCAGCTGTTTGTTTTGTTTTGTTTCATATAAAGTCAATGTAGCTGGGTGCGGTAGATTTGGAAGGCGGAGGCTAAGTGTTGGAGACCAGCCTGGGCAACTTGGTGAGACCTTGTCTTTGCACAAGTCAAAACATGAGCTGGGTGTGGTGACACACACCTGTAGTTCCAGCCGCTTGGAAGCCTGAGGTGGAAGGATCACCTGAGCCCAGCAGGTCGGGGCTGTGGTGGCCATGAGCATGCCACTGCATTCCAGCCCTCCGGCCTACGTGACAGTGAAACTGCCGCTCAAAAAAAAAGTCAATATAAAAATATTTTGCTCCATTTTTAAATATAAACAGTATTATACCATACATACTATTTTGTACCTTTTTTTTTACTTAAAAGTATAATGTTCTATATCATATTTTATTGTGTGTCTCACAGTTTGTTGAATTTGTTCCTTATTGATGGACTTTTTGGTTGTTCCCATTCCTTCCTTCTCTCTTCCACAGCAACTTTATTTTCAAAGATTTCAAACCTACAGAAAAGTTGTAGGCACAATACATTGACCATTTATATACTGTTCATCTGGAATCACTAATTATCATCATTTAGCACCTTCTGCTTTGTCTGTTTACACACATACAGACTTTGTTTTTGCACTGAACCATTTTAGTTACAAACATCATGACGTCTTACTTCTAAGTATCTCCTAAGAACATTAACATTCTTCTCCACAAACATGATGCCATTCTCTCACTCCAAATATTTAACAATAGTGTCATAAATGTATTTTTGTCAAGTGTTCAGATTTCCCCAACTGTTCCAAAAACATTTTTTATAGATATTTTTCTCCCCAGTACAGTATCCAGTCAGAATCACATGTTCCACTTATTTATCTCCTGCTTTTAGTCCCCTTTATTATATAACAGTTCCCCAGCCTTTTTTCTTCCTGTTTTAAAAAAATATTTAATGATACTTTTTTAAGGAACCAGGCCAATTTTTTAAAAATCACCCATAATCCAGACATGCCTGATTGTTTGTTTAAGTTGAGAGTCAGAGTAAACATTTTTGCCAAGGATATTTCCAAGGTGATGTGTACATTCCATTGCATGTCCTTAGGAGGCACATAATGGTGATTTGTCTCATCACTGGTGATACTCCGTTTGGTTTAAGGTGATGTCTACAGGATCTATCCATTTTAAAGGTGCATTCTTTTTTTGTAATTAATAATCTGTGGAGTGATACTTTGAGGGCACATGACTATTCTATTCCTTGATACTCTTTTTTTTTTTTTTTTAATTGGAATCTCTGTTGCCAAGGCTGGAGTACAGTTGCATGCTCATCACCACCGCAGCCTCAACTTGCTGGGCTCAGGTGATCCTTCCACCTCAGCCTTTCAAGTAGCTGGAAACACAGGCATGCACCACCCAGCTAATTTTTTGATTTATTGTGGAGATGAAGTCTAACTAAGTTCCCCAGACTGGTCTCAAACCACTGGACTCAGGTAGTCCTCTTGCCTCCGCCTCCCAAAGTGTTGGAATTACAGATATGAACCACCGCGCTTGGCTTCCTTGATACTCTTTTACTTAAAATTTTTAGCATCCATTGATGATCTTTGCTTTATTATATTACTGGTTGCAAAATGATGGTTTTTCTAATTCCATCATTGCTTCTAAATGACTTGATAACATTCTTCCATAAAAAATAACTCTCCCTTCCCCTGCCCCATTTTAATGTGTATGTATTACTCTGGACTAACGGAATTTTTAAAACCTCAATGTGTTATTAATTCATTAATTCTGGCTTTTTAATTTTGTCTTGTGTTTTGTTTTTGACACTCAGTTGTCTCAATTTGGGCAATGGCAGCCCTTCAAGTCCAACATCTTCATGACGTGTCCCCATTAGTCTTTAAGCAGTTCCTTGCTTTCCGACAGAGCCAGATGTTCTTTAGGCTAACCGTATGCTTACCTTAGATCTGGAATTTTTCCAAGGAGCCCTGGTTCATTTTAGTGCGGAATAGTACTTAAAAACCAAGGTCTGGGTAGTAAATGTATTGACTATTATGGGTATCATTGCTTCAATATCTGTTCACTGGGTAGAGCTGGGAAATATGGGTGGATGAGTGCAGAATGATAATTCTGATTCAAATCGGACACTACAAGGATGGTCCATTTTGTATATTCCCTTATTTTGTATCTCCTTTCCTATACAGTGAATAACTTGGTTTCTAACAACATCATTATATTTACTTATTTGCTCTATCATATGATACACACAAAAAATGGCTTCAAAATTACATCAATACCAATATCAGTAACAAACTGTCTAGAAAATTCAAGATTTCTTTGAAGTTGTTTTTGTCCTTAGAATATAGACTGCTAGCCGGGCTCGGTGGCTCAGCCTGTAATCCCGCGCTTTGGGAGGCTGAGGTGAGTGGATTGCCTGAGTCCGCGGGTTCGAGACCTGCCTGGGCAACTTGGTGAGACCTCATCTCTACAATAAATCAAAAAATTAGCCGGGCGTGGTAGCGTGCACCTGTAGTTCCAGCTACTTGGAAGGCTGAGGTGGAAGGATCACCGCAGCCCAGCAGGTTGAGGCAGTGGTGGCCGGGAGCGGCCACTGCACTCCAGTCTGGGTGACAGAGTGAGACTCCAACTCAAAAAAAAAAATATATATATATATATATAGACTGCTAAGAGTCACATTTTCTTGCTTTTCTATTTTACCATTTTTTGAGCATGTAAAAATATTAACATGATTCAGAAGTCAAAACTATATAGAAAGGTATACATTACCTCCCTTCTGTCCTATTCCCATCCACTCGCTGTAGGTAACCACGTTCATTTGTTTCTGGTATATCCTTTCTATGTTTCTCTTTCCAAAAATAAATCACTGATATAGCTTATATGTCCTTTTGTATACAAAAAAAAGTACACTATGTATACACTTGGATCTTACTTTCCTTTTTTTAAATTTAAGATACTGATTTGTATATTAACCAGTATTGATGCTAGAATATAGTATGAACAGTGAATTAAACAATAATGACAGAATATAATATGCTACCTTAGAGTGAATTACTTCACTTTTTCTAAAAAGTTAACTTTGATCCATAGGTATTTTAAGGGTCATAATACTTAAAAAGCTAATTCTCCATAATTTTTGGCCTTATTTGCCTTAGTTGGCAGAATGCAAAATACACCTACAGCACATGAAATTCTTTGGGAAATAAATTCAGCACACTCTAAACATTGAGAAAACATATTCAGTGTAATAAGCCTGCACTAGGGTCAGAATAGTCTTCTGGAAGATACTGCCAGTCTGGGGTCACTTTAAGTTAACTTCTCAACATGAGGAATTTTGTAGATCATTCAGAGAACAGACAGGCTGTTGGTCCTCAAGAAGGAGCAGTGTGTACTTACATGTTTTGGGAGGAGATTTTTCTCCCTCCAAAGAGGTTCAAGACTGAGGAAAGCAAGTTCCTTTTTTCCTTCTATAGAGGTGGAGTTTTGGGGTTTTGTTTTTCTAGCCTGTCTTTATGTAGTGTGTAATCCTCTGTGCAAGAGTCAGCCTTCCCTCCTTGGTTGGTCCCCAAGCTTTGTCCACTGGCCTCTGAGCCCCCTGCACCAGAAACCTAAGGTCATCAACATGATTGAGGAGCTATCTCAGGCAGCCATCTTGAGCTTTTACTGACTTTCTGCCTTCCAACTTTACCTTGATTTTTGGCACCTGAGGGTTTTACTTTCATGCCAGCTCAGAGATACATAATAAGTTGAACCTTTGGTTAGGATATCTGCAGTCATACAAGAAATAGAAACCTTGGTAATTCACAAATAGAATAGTAGTATTGTCTGTGATTCCAGCACTTTGGGAGGTGGAGGCAAGATGATTTCCTGAGCCAGGGTTTTGAGACCACCCTTGGCAACTTGGCAAGACCTCATCTCTTTAATAAATTTAAAAATTGCTGGGCATGGTAATTCCAGCTACTTGGAAAGCTAAGGCAGAAGGATCTCCTGAACCCAGATGATCGAGGCTCCAGTAGCCATGAGTGTGCCACTGCACTCCAGCCTGGGCGACACAGTGAGACTTCTACTCCAAAAAAAAAAAAAAGAAAGAAAAAAGAATAGTAGTATTGGTCCTCAATAGCCATTACTGTCTCAGAACTGTTATACTTCTTTATGTTTATACAGTACCTAGCCATTCTTTCTGACTCAATTCAATGGTTTGAATTGAACTCCCCCATTGAATGTTTTCATGATGACCTGAGTCAACATTGATCTCCTTTAAAAAAAATTTTTTTTTTTTGTCATAGTCTCACTCTCTCACCCAGGCTGGAGTGCAGTGGCACGCTTATAGCCACTGCAGCCTCAAACTTCTGGGCTCAGGCAATCTTTCTACTTCAGCCCTCCAAGTAGCTAGAACCACAGGCGCTGCCACCATACCCCGCTAATTTTTTTTGTTTATGTAGAGACAAAGTCTCACCAAGTTTCCCAGGCTGATCTTGTACCCCTGAGCTCAGACAGTCATGAGCCACCACACTTGCCCTCTGTTAAAAATATTATAGCACTGTTTGGCTTTATTAATCAACAAATAGGCCAGACTCAGTGACTCAGCCTGTAATCCCAGCACTTTGGGTGGCCAAAGCAAGTAGATTGCCTGAGTCCACAGGTTCAAGATCAGCCCGGGCAACTTGGCGAGACCTCATCTCTACAATAAATCAAAAATTAGCCGGTCATGGAAGCATGCTCCTATAGTTCCAGCTACTTTGAAGGCTGAGGCAGAAGGATCACCAGAGCCTAGCAAGGCAACACTGGGATGGATGGCCGCTGCCCTCCAGCCTGGGTGACAGAGTGAGACTCCAATTCAAAAAAAAATAAAACATCGACAAATACCACATCTAGTCAACCTTTCTCGTTATTTGATTTAAGTACTTCTCGATTATCTTGATTTTTGAATTTTTATAAACAGATTTTTTTTTAATGTACACTTATAGTAGCAATTTGTTTTTTATTATTATTTTTTTTTTTAGGAAGCAGGATTTATTAAGAGGACAGAAAAGTTCCCACAGTGGGAGGGGACCTGAAGGGGTTACCCAGTAGCAATTTATTAATAGTCATCATTCAAACTTGTTGCTTTAGTCTGATTAATGGTAACCTTAGTACTTCCTTTTCTGGTATAGTTTGCCATAGACTGATTATGACTACATAGAAGTTAAACTCAGCTGCTGGTACTATCTCTTTTTTTTCTTTGAATATATACACCTACTGTATAGCCCATTCACATTCTCATTTTCTTTTTGGAAAGAGGAGTAGCAAATTCTGAGTTGGTTTTTATATTTTTTTCTTCTATAAAAGTAATGTAATTACATTTCTAGTACTAAATAGCAATAAAAGTAATATAGCCAATTTATTGAAAGTTTGTTGGCATTTTGGTAATATTCTTCCACTTCTAATATTTTTCCATGCTGGTTATGATATGGCTTTTTAAAAATTAATATTACTTCTAAGCATTTTCTGGTGTGTGTTTGAATAAAAGTAATAAAACTAGTTAGTAAATTCAAGCAGCACAAGGAAGCAAATTGTCTCCCTCCCCTCAGCCATTACTAGAACCCTCTCCCCTTAGATCATCTGTGTGTGTGTGTGTGTGTCTGCCTGCCTGTCTATAGTACATATACCATATCTTTTCACAGAAGGGATTTTGCTTTGTAGACTTACACCTGTTTTTGTTTTTGTTTTTGTTTGCACTTAAATGCGTCCTGCATACCTTTTCGTGTCAGAGTACCTAGACCTACCTAATTATTTATTTTTATCAGATACCAATATTCCATTATCCCTTATTTTAACTAGTCCCTTACTAATGGATATAGCTATAATTTTGAATGACTGCCTACTATTCTGTTGAATGAATATATTTTAAAGATACTATACTTTGAATTGCATCTTAGAAAGTTTCTGAACTATTCGATACCATTTTTGCTGTATTGTACATTCTATACTTAATTAACTTAGATAATTCTTGATATTTGCAAGTTATGTGTTTCTCACCTGGTTTCAAAGGAGAAAGGGGTTGTAACTTACATTTTGTTTTAAATCATCATTCTGGAAACAAAATAGGCATCAACAAATACACATTTGAGTGCCTTATTATAGCCGTGTTTGAGATCAGGTTGTTTTTTGTTTACTTTTTGTTTGTGTATGTGTGTTTGCATACACGCATGCATGCACATGTATGTGCATACTTTCTTTTTTTTTTTTTTTTTTGAGTTGGAGTCTCACTCTGTCGCCCAGACTGGAGTGCAGTGGCCGCTCCCGGCCACCACAGCCTCAACCTGCTGGGCTCCCGCGATCCTTCCGCCTCAGCCTTCCGAGTAACCAGAATTACAGGCACGTGCTACCATGCCCAGCTGATTTTTTTATTTATTGTAGAGATGAGGTCTCGCCAAGTTGCCCAGGCGGGTCTCGAACCTGTGGGCTCAGGCAGTCCACTCACCTCAGTCTCCCAAGGCATGGGATTACAGGCTGAGCCGCCAAGCCCGGCATGTGCGTACTTTCATGAGTTCACCTTTTTACAGGTTATTCTCAATTATTTTACCCGTTTAGTTGAGTAGCCACCATATTCAGAGTCTTGGGCCATTTTCTGAAGGAAACGTAAAAGAAAGATAAACTGTTTCTAGAATTTGCTTCTAAATTGGAAATACAAGAAATACATAAAATTGTAAAATAAAGTCATGCACTGTATAATGACATTTTGGTTAACGAGGGACCACATTTATGACAGTGATTCCATAGAACTATAATGGTGCTTATATGGAAGCCTGATGTGTGTCACTTGTTGTTTGTGTTGCAGCTCAAGTAGGGGAAAAGGCTGATATTCAGTAATGGTACTGGGACTTTGGGTTTTCTATGTAAAATATATGTAAATATATATACACACATACACACACACACACACACACCATCTAGGTTTGTGTAACTACACTCTTATGATGTTTGCACAGCAACAAAATTGCCTAATGATGCATTTCTGAGAATATATCCCTGTTGTTAAGTGATGTGTGACTATAATCATGTAAGGCCAAGTTCTGTCATGGGTCCAGTGCTGTATTTGGTTGAACCATATAAGAATGCTAATATATATTCAGCCATTTTAATCTATAAAAAATGATTCGTGTGATTCAACCTAATCTGTATTCTAGATTATAAGAAGGGGTTTTTTTTGGTTTTTTTTTTTTTTTTGAGTTGGGCTTCTCACTCTTGTCACCCAGGCTGGAGTGCAGTAGCATGCTCATGGCCATCGCAGCCTCTACCTGCTGAGTTTAAGCGATCCTGCCGCCTCGGCCTTCAAAGTTGCTGGAACTATACATGCATGCCACTGTGCCCAGCTAGTTTTTGTGATTTATCGTAGAGAAGAGGTCTCACCAAGTTGCCCAGGCTGGTCTCTAACTCCCGAACTCAGGCAGTCTTCTCATCTCGGCCTCCAAAAGTGCTGGATTACAGGCTGAGCCACCACGCCTGGCCAAAAAGTAATGTTTTAGAGGGAAACACAAGCTGAACTAGAAACATCTTTTTAAATACATGGAGAAAGTATCATAAAATAAAGCTTAGAGTTTGGGATTACCATGGCATCTAAAGACAATTATGAGGAAGTAGTGGATAATTTTAAACTGTAAAATGAATATGAACTGTAATAGACGATATGGTAGAATGGAAAGAAAGCCAGAGTATTTTGGGACTGAATGCCTGGTGGAGGTATTTTGAACTTTTTTCTTTTTCTTTCTTTCTTTAACTTTTTATCCTTTCATTAACTTTTGTCCACTGGTTCTTAAACTTTAACGTACAGCAAAATAAGACTGCAAGACTTGCTAAAACAAATTGCTCACTGCCAAAGTTTCTAATTCAGAATGTCGGAGTGGGACCCAATAATTTTAACACATTCCCAGATGATAGTGATGGTTCTGCCGCTAGTGTGGAGATTGTACTTTCAGAATCATGGTTTTAGGCTATGGGAGATTTACTAGAGATACTTGAGCATAGAAAACACTCCATGAAATCACTTTAGGAATATTATATAGGATCGTGTAGAGTAGATTGGAAGAGAGAGTAATGAGTCTACTTGTAATATGCCTACTTGATGAGCCTGTTCTGTAAATTAATACATGACGCTGTCTCAAATTGTTTCACATAGTTTTATCAACTGTTTCCACATTTCTTACGCTGTCACCTGACCTAATCTATTTTTCATGCCCATATTGAATAGTGAAAAATCTTTCCATTTTCGTCAGTTTTTGTCTCCCCTTTTTTTCCCTTTTATTCTCCTTTCCCAAGCTTTACGGACCATGTTAATGAGATTGGCAGAGCTATTGTCTTTGGGCATTTTCTTTGTGTTCATTATTTTATACTTTGGCAGTTTCCTTTCTGCAAATGAAGGAGGAACTTTTCTTTTTTTTTTTAATTTCAGAACGAGAAACTGAAGCCCAAGTGTGTACTCCAGTAGAGAATATTTCTAAACTTACAAAGGATGAAACCCAGACCATAAAATTAGAAGAATCGTATGACTATGATGACAGATTAGAAAGGAAAGCAACAGATACCTTCTGGAAATTTCCCACTAATGAAAGAGATTTCAATTTCAAGTCAGTCTTTTCACAAGAAGATGATCCTGCAGAAGGATGTTTTAGTAAATATGATATATATAGAAATAATTTTGGAAATAATTCAAATCTAATTGTACAGTTTGATGACCAATTAGATAATAAAACTTTTATGTATAATGAAGGCAGGGAAACCTTCGATCATGTCCCATATGGTATTGTATATGGGAAAATACTTCCTGGAGATAAGCCTTATAAATGTAAAGTGTGTGGGAAAAAATTTAGGAAGTACCCATCCCTCCTGAAACACCAAAGTAGCCATGCCAAAGAGAAATCTTATGAATGTGAAGAATGTGGGAAAGAGTTTAGGCATATTTCATCTCTCATTGCACATCAGAGAATGCATACTGGAGAAAAACCATATGAATGTCACCAATGTGGTAAAGCCTTCAGCCAGCGTGCACACCTTACTATACATCAGAGAATTCATACTGGAGAGAAACCCTATAAGTGTGATGATTGTGGGAAAGACTTTAGTCAACGTGCACACCTTACTATACATCAAAGGACACACACTGGAGAGAAACCATACAAATGTTTGGAATGTGGTAAAACCTTCAGCCATAGTTCATCGCTGATTAATCATCAGAGAGTTCATACTGGAGAAAAACCTTATATATGCAATGAATGTGGGAAAACTTTCAGTCAGAGTACACACCTTCTTCAGCATCAAAAAATACATACTGGAAAGAAACCATATAAATGCAATGAGTGTTGGAAAGTGTTTAGTCAGAGTACTTACCTTATTCGACATCAGAGAATTCATTCTGGAGAGAAGTGCTATAAATGTAATGAATGTGGGAAAGCCTTTGCTCATTCCTCAACTCTTATTCAACATCAGACTACTCACACTGGAGAGAAATCCTATATATGTAACATATGTGGGAAAGCCTTCAGCCAGAGTGCAAACCTTACTCAACATCATAGAACACATACTGGTGAGAAACCATATAAGTGCAATGTGTGTGGGAAAGCATTCAGCCAGAGTGTGCACCTTACTCAGCATCAGAGGATTCATAATGGAGAAAAACCCTTTAAATGCAATATATGTGGGAAAGCATATAGACAAGGTGCAAATCTTACTCAGCATCAAAGAATTCATACTGGAGAGAAACCCTATAAATGTAATGAATGTGGGAAGGCTTTCATTTATTCCTCATCACTGAATCAACATCAGAGAACTCATACTGGAGAGAGACCCTATAAATGTAATGAATGTGATAAAGATTTTAGCCAGAGAACATGCCTTATTCAACACCAGAGAATTCACACAGGAGAGAAACCCTATGCATGTCGTATTTGTGGTAAAACCTTCACCCAGAGTACAAACCTTATTCAGCATCAACGTGTTCATACAGGTGCCAAACATCGTAATTAATGGAAAAAGGAGACTTCATTTTGGTTTTACAACTTGATCATTTACATTTTATTTTGTATTCTCTGTGTGTTAAAACATTATTCAAAAGAAATCTGAAGAAGTGCAATATGTTAGCCACCACTCAGCACAAGTAACAAAATAATATGGTTACAATTATTTCAGTTTGTTGTGAAATTTAAGAAGGAAACTTCATTGACTTCTTAACTTTTATTTGATAATCAGTTTAATTCATTCCAGGAAGAAACTTTATGAAAGGGTATTTAAAAACCTGTAACCTGTAACTCATCAACTCTTTATTTCAAGTATAGTTCCTCAGTACACTGTATCTTGGTTGGAAAAAATCCACATATAAGTGGACCTACAAAGTTCACACCACTTGAGGGCCAATTGTTCTTGAGGCCTTATGAGTATAACTTGGGAAAGTGTCCATCAAATAGAGATTTCACACTAGAGGGTAAACCTACAATTATAGAAAAGAAAAAGCTGCTTTCAGTCCTTTACTTCTCCCCAGTTTTGAAGCCTTAAAATATGTAAAGGGTTCCTCCCCTTTTTTACTTCCCCTTTTTGTGTTATGCCATAACTGTCGTATGGAGCCAGTAGGTTTGCAGGAAAAAAATAGTTGAAAGTATCTTAAAGATTTGTACATGACCACTGTTTAATTATACTTTTCCTCAAATATTGAAATGTTAAGCTTAATGAAAGATATGGGTAGAGAAACTAATGTGTATATAACACTTAGACATGTACAGATTTAGTTAAACGGGCACAAATTAAATACCCCAAGCTTAAATTAATCTTTAAAACATGTTAGCCTTAATTTCACTAGGTTTGACATACAAGGATATCCTGAAGGGAAAAAATAGGCACATAGTTCCCATATTTTTTTACCTGAATCCTAAATTCATAACTTAAAGTTTCTCTGTGACTGTTTTACTGTAGAAAGTATATTTCCTCCATTGAAATTTCATGTTTATGTCTTGAGTGTCTACTCTGCTCAGGTCCAAAACTTCCTAATTAGATTCTTTCAGGGCTTGATACAGTGCTGAGAATCCCAGCTGTCTTAGGCAACAGAAAGCTTTCTAGAATAATGAGAGAGAAAGTAAGAACATGATCTTAACTATTTTGTAATGGAATGAGCATAAGCAACCTGCTAAAATGGGTTGCCTGATGCTACCCTATATCCCAAGACAAGAAATTCATAGAAGCAGCTGTATAAATAATGTGAGGGAAAATAAGTAATGGAAAATAGATTTGAATTCACTGGAGAAAGTGGGTCAGGGAAAAGGGTGAAAATTTAATGGGAGCAAGGCAAAAGAATACATTGGTAACTAACAATATGAAATGTAATTAGACTTACTTTATGAAATATAAGAGTGACTAAAGAAAAAAGCAAACTTCAGCCTGTTTACAAGAAGAAACTAAAAGCAAAACGACTGATTTTTAAGGAATGATTGGAAACCTGCTACTCCTTCATACACACAAAAAAACTGGAGATTACTCTTAACGTGTCAGGAAAAAAAACTTTTTTTACTGCAGTATTTTACTATATTATTTAACGCATAATAATTGTACTGCATTGGTGCAGTAATCATTAAACAATAATAACTGAGTTTGTGGGTCCTAAACAACATAAAAAGAAACTGGCAGAAGTACAAATAGAAATAGGTACAAATACCTTTGCACTCGGATGTCCCTTCTCAGGGGACATAAAGAGATTGCTGGTATTTATACAGGACAAACTTATGCCAGCATAAATTTTTCAAAATGTGTTTCCTTGAAGTTTTCCATTCAATTTGCACGAAAAAGTAAAGATATGGAATATATATTGAGATATGCATTTAAAAAATCAGCTGATGTTAAACAGAAAAAATGAAATGTTTTCACAATGGTGCACAGACTGGACAATAAGTTACATATTAATGTGGGAGGAAGAAAATGAGACTGCATTGTCTGCTCAAATGGACAAACACTAGGAGAAAGATGTCAGACATTATTATTGCACAACATATATCAATGAACCTGCAATGCATGTCGGTGACTGTTTCACACGTTTCTACATGTTAGAAAAATATATAAAATTTTGATTTTTTGTTATGGATACGTTCCTCAATGTCCAATATTCCATTATAAGCCAAATATCACTACAATAAAGTAATTGGTTCTAACACTATACTATTTAATATGAAGTGATTGATTTTTCACTATTGTTAAAAAGTGCAGTCAGGTTGCTGATAGGTGATCTGCAAGATGTCTCCGAGTGCAAAGGGTTAATATTCACAGCATTCCACTGTCAAAATATAAGGCCATATTCTGAGAACTGATATTTCATCTTGTACATATTTGTTTCCCTTCTGCCTTGCATATAACATATGGTCATACATGTTGGTTGAATTAATGAATAAATTATATAAATTAAACTTGAGTTATAAGGTAGAATCGACTGGCATGGAGTGAAAATTGGTAAAACTAAAATTACTTTTTTTTTTTTTTTTTTTTTGAGTTGGAGTCTCACTCTGTTGCCCAGACTGGAGTGCAGTGGCCGCTGCCGGCCACCGCAGCCTCGACCTGCTGGGCTCCGGCGATCCTTCCGCCTCAGCCTTCCGAGTAGCCGGAACTACAGGCACGCGCTACCACGCCCGGCTAATAAAATTACTTTTTTATACATAAATATTTTACAAATATTTACTGGGTAATAGGAAATGCTGGAAAAAAATGAATCAAATTTCATGGCACATCTTGGCACAAAGAAATTTTCCTGAGCTAAATAAGGGAAAATTGATATTGAATCTCTTGCCATAAATACCAAGTTAAGCATGTATTGACCATGCAGCTTCATTTGGACATTGCTGATCATGTCAACATCCTACAGACAGGTACTGAAGGAAAGACCTGGGGTACTCCATCTTCAAGACTATATTGTTGAGTGTTTTCTTTAAGAAATTACTGCTTTCTCTTCTTATATTAGTTAACCTTGATTCCTTCTCATATCATCCTTCACAAAGTGGAGATTGCAGAATACTTAAATTGTGCTTATTCCATGGTTATAACATTTTTTTATTTATTTATATTGATCTGATTTTTTAAACTCTGCTTCATCCCTCACATAACACTTTAATTCTCTTGGATGAACATGTGGAGTGTTACAGTCCTTAGCACCTTTCTTTGCATTACTTTGTATTTTCTGCCTTTATGTGTTTTATGTAAATAATGCACTTATAAAATCTTCCACTGATACACTGATGTCCTTATAAAATAAGTGGAGAATCCTAGATCTTTGTGTATTTTTTCCCACTTTTACAGTTGTTCAACCCACAAATAATTCAACAGTTTTTAGCAAATAATCTTATTTTCCTCAACTTTTTGCTGTGGAAATTGTCAAGTATACAGAAAAGTTTAAAAATGATAAAATGAACTGTGTACCTACCACCTAGCTTTAAAAACCAACATGTTGCCTTTTTTTTTTTTTTTTTTTTGAATAGGAGTCTCACTCTTGTTGCCCAGGCTAGAGCGCAATGGCAAGTTCATGACCACCGCAGCCTTTACCTACAGAGCTCAGGTGATCCTTTGGCATCAGCCTTCCAAGTAGCTGGAACTACAGGCGTGCGCCACCATGTCTGACTAATATTTTTATTTATTGTAGAGATGAGGTCTTGTCATGTTGCCCAGTTTGGTCTCGAACCATGGGCTCGGGCAGTCATCTCACCTTGGGCTCCCAAAGTGCTGGGATTACAGGAGGGAGCCACCACGTCCAGCCCTGTTGCCATATTTTTTATCAAACAATTGAAAAGTGATTTATAGACAAGACAGTTCACTGCTAAACACACATGCATCTCATAAAAATAAGGACAGTCTTTTACATAACCACAATACCATTACATACCTCAAAAAAGATGAACTGTAGGTATTTCCCTAGTATCTAAAGACCTAGTCCATATTTGAATTTTCCCTCTTGATCACTCAGTTTTTATACATATTTGTTACATCTATCTAGAATAGTCTCCATCTTTGATTTTTTTCCCACTCTAAGATCAGTTGACTTGACGAATGTCTACATATTGTTTACACGTCGTTTACATCTGAATTGTTGTATATTCCCTTGCAGTATCTGTAAATTAGAACTTAGGGGCAAAGGCCTAGTTAGATTCAGGTTAAACATTTCTTTCTTTTTTTTTTTTTTTTTTTGAGTTGGAGTCTCACTCTGTCGCCCATACTGGAGTGCAGTGGCTGGGAGCGGCCACTGCAACCTCGACCTGCTGGGCTCGGGCAATCCTTCCACCTCAGCCTTCTGAGTAGTCGGAATTAAAGGCACGTGCTACCACTCCCGGCTGATTTTTTTTTTTTTTTGTATTATTTATTGTAGAGATAAGGTCTTGCCAAGTTGCCCAGGTGGGTCTCAAATCCGCAGGCTCAGGCAATCCACTCACCTCAGCCTCCCAAAGCACAGGATTATAGGCTGAGCCACCGAGCCCAGCTAGGTTAAACATTTCTAATGGTAACACTTCACAGATCTGTTTTATATCATATCCTATCAAAAGCCTAATTCCTATCAGGCTGACTCACTATCAGTGTTGACACATTTGATCATTTGGGTGAGATAGTAGCCACCAGATGCTCCTAATGTAAAAGTAGTGTTTTTCTGTTGCAATTAACAAAAAATCTGTGAACTGACACTTTGGCAGCATATGGATATCCTGTTTACCAACAATTTCGCACCTGGTGGCTTTAAAACCCAACTTCATCAAAGTTTGCAAAATGATTTTCTAATTCTGTTTGCATTTATTGACTGACATTCTTCTGTAAGGAAGAACTTTCCCTCAACAACCTGGAATGCACTAGAGGCAAGGTCATACTCAGTTATTTTCTTTTAATTACAAATTTGTTTAATTACCGGTAAAGAGTTTGGTGTTCTCGTCTGCAGTTGAGAAATGGTTCAGTGTGTTAGAGACATTATGACCATTGTTTCTAATGTTCAAGTTGTCCCAGATATGGCCAGTTGGTGCCCTTTAACTTATGTCCTTTTGACATTCTCTCTCTAGTCTCTGGGCACTGACTTGCCTCCTGACACAAGATATCTCAAATTTACTTTGCACTTTTAATGTCCCAAACATGGAATAAAACATTTCTCCAGGAATTCCTGGCTCCGTGTGTGTGTGTGTGTGTGTGTGTGTGTGTGTGTGTGTGTGTGTGTGTGTCAGAGTCTCACTCTGTCACCCAGGCTGGAGTGCAGTGGCACACTCACAGCCACTGTAGCCTCAACCTGCTGGGCTCAGGCAATCCTTCCGCCTCAGCCTTCCAAGTAGCTGGAAC